TTTGCTTCTCTTCTGTCACTGTGCCCAAGATGCTAGAGAATCTCCTGTCTCAGAGGAAAACAATCTCAGTAAGGGGCTGTATGGCTCAGGTCTTCTTTGTATTTGTCACTGCAGGGACTGAAGCCTGTCTGCTTTCAGTGATGGCCTATGACTGCTATGCAGCTATTTGCCACCCTCTGCTCTATGGACAGATCATGAGTAAACAGCTGTTTATGCTGCTTGTTTGGGGCTCCTGGGGACTGGGCTTTCTGGATGCACTCATCAATATCCTCCTAGCTATGGACTTGGTGTTCTATGAAGCCCAAGTCATTCATCATTACAGTTGTGAGATACCCTCTATCTTACCACTCTCCTGCTCTGATGTCTCCAGGAACATCATTGCCTTGCTCTGTTGCACCCTTCTACATGGGCTGGGAACCTTCGTCTTGGTCTTTCTATCCTATGCACACATCATTTCCACCATCCTGAGCATCAGCTCCACCTCAGGCAGAAACAAGCCCTTCTCCACCTGTTCCTCCCACCTCACTGCAGTGACACTTTACTATGGTTCAGGTTTGCTCCGCAATCTTATGCCAAACTCAGGTTCCCCCATGGAGCTGATCTTCTCTGTGCAGTACACTGTGGTAACTCCCATGCTGAATCCCCTCATCTACAGCCTGAAGAACAAGGAGGTGAAGGCAGCTATGAGAAGAACTTTGGAAAAGTATTTGCAATGTATCAGGTGCTGCAATAAAGACAGAGGATGGTAGAGAATTGGGAAAAAGTTGTATACAACAAAACATTGGTTGAGTTTACAGTAAGGAGTATGCCTGATTACTCACAATGTTTGATGTTACAAACTAAATAAGAAGTATATGAGAGAATGGCACAAAATTATTATAGGAAGGAGAGTTCACTTTAATTATTTAAGATATTAAATAATAATTTTACTCTATCTGGAATGTATGAATATATCGATTCACTTTCATTATTCTAAAACATTTGTTTAGGATTTGCATTTAGTGAAATGATTTATGTCATTAATTTATCATTATTTTTAATTAACTCTGAGGAGTTAATTAAATTAAATAAAGTTGATAATATTACAAAGTTTTAGACCTGTGGGAGAGAAAAGTCATAGATTGGGGTTGATTGGGAGCAGAACAAAGAATTCCAACTGGTGGCCATGGAAGACAGGTGCAAAGAACTAAAAGTCCTGCGGAGAAAGAGTCAACATACTAAGATATCTCAGAATCAGGTAAAATTTCCAAGAACTTTGGTGTTATGAGCAGCACGGTGGCCAGATTTCCGGTGTGAGATGCTGCAAGGAGTCTGTATGGTTGCAGAAACTCCGTTTTTACACATAGTCTCCATTTATCATATACCAAAACCAAAAACTAAACTCACTGCCATCAAGTCAATTCTGACTCATACTGACCTCCTTATGGTTTCCAGTGTGGTAAATCTTTACAGAAGTAGATTGCCCAGTCTTCCATTTGCACAGTAGCTGGTGGGTTTGAACCACAACCTTCTGGTTAGCAGTCAAATGCCTTAGGCACTATACCACCAGAGCTCCTATTTATCATACAGGGGATTTATATTTTAATTATTAAATT